CAAGTATCGCCCCCGCCCCGCCCCCCCCCCCCTACAACTAATGGCAGCATTTTTAGCTGAGTGTCCTCTAAATGGCCTTTGAGGAATCAGGCAGGGAGGGGGAGGCACGGAGCCCCTGGCCTCTATCATTTGACGCATCCAACCCCAACAGGTGCACAGGCCCAGCCACTCTTCAGATTTGGACAGCAAGAGAGAAGGGAGGGTGGCCTCATTTTCTGCGGCCGCAGTGAGCCTTCGCAGAGCCACAAAGAGCAAAGAAAGATCCACCTCTCCCGCCTATGGCTGGGAGGCATTTGAAATACCGTTGGTGATGTCTGGGTTTCTCTTTTTTGGTTTAATTTTCTTAGAACCACTCAGAGAAGATTACGGTTTCAGATCTCCATGGCTGCAGTCAATCAACAAATATGTGCTGAGCGCTCACTACGTACCTAGATTTTTGCCGAGGGTTATGGGGTGCGGGGGTGGGTGTGGGGGTGGGGACTAAGGAACTATCTGTTGAATTCCGGCCCTCAGGTGGTCTGTTCAACCAGCTTAAGGCAAGAAGAGGTTCCAGCTCAGGGGACAGAGAAGCGACCAATAAACCCCTATGTTCTTCTGCTGGGAAGGGAGTCTAAGTTTTGAGGACGGGCACAGCAGCTGGCCTCTCCTCCTGCTGTCTGTCCCAGGCTACTTTTCGCACAGCTTGGGCTGGTAAGGTTGAGCACCCGCAAGGGTGCAGGACTGAGGGTGGGGCTGGCTTAGACTCAGAATTTGCCCTCACGAACTCAAGTGCCTAAATTGACTCCATCCTCGGGGCGCCTGGCTGACTCAGGGGGAGCACGTGACTCTTGAGCTAGGGGTCGTGAGTTCGAGCCCCATGTTGGATGCAGAGATAATTAAAAATAAAAATCTTAAAAAAAAAGTAAATAAAATAACTCCACCCTCCAGTGTCGAACTCAGCTCTACCCTGAAAAGCCAGACAAAGGGAAGCGGGAGGCCGGGGCCCCAGGACAGAGTAGTGACATAAGCAGTCCTAGGGGAAGAGCCAAAAGGCGTGAAGGCAAGAATAAAAGTTACACCTCTGCGGAAAGAATATTGGGTCAAAAGTGGGTCAGAGAAGGAATATTTCCTCCCAATGAACAGAGAAAGAAAACGTGCCTCTTGTAACAACGGGTACGTGAATGGGGAAGTGGAAATTCGAAGCATCTCCAAATCTTGAGTCACTTTCCATTTTTTTTTTTCAATTTTTGAAACATTTTGAAACATTTTTTAAGCTTATTTATTTTAAGAGAGAGGGTGAGCAGAGGAGGGGCAGAGAGAGAAAGAGGAGAGAGAGAATCCCAAGCAGGCTCCGCACTGCCAGGGCAGAACCCAGGGCAGGGCTCAAACCCACGAACCGTGAGATCATGACCTGAGCGGATATCCAGAGTCAGACACTTAACTGACTGAGCCACCCAGGCGCCCTGTTTTCCATTTCTTTTTGGCTGGCGGGATGTGCCGCTGGAAGTTTTTTTGTCGAAAAGGGGATTGTGTTTTGTCACCATTCCAGGACGATCAGGATGAAGTAAACCAGAACTACTTGGCAGATGAAGAGGAAGAAGCGGAAGAAGAGGCTCGGGTGATGGTGGTACCCGATTTGGAGGAGGAGGAGGAGGAAGAAGGACAGGAGGAGGAAGAGGAGGAGATAGAAGAGGAAAAGGAGGAGGAAGAGGGTCAGGGTCCGCCAACAGGCAATGCCTGGTGGCAGAAATTGCAGACCGTAAGCGAATACCTGTGGGATCCGGAGAAAAGGATGTCTCTGGCCCGAACAGGTCAGAGTTGGAGTAAGTCCCAGTTGTCCCCATGCCCCAGTCGGGTGTCCTTTGCTTTTGGCTTGGTGTCCAGGACTCCTTTACCATACGTTGGATGGGCTTGTCTGCAAACTTCTCTTAGATTTCATGCAAAGGGCTCGGTGCCTAGGGACATGCCTGGATGTGGGCAGATGCCATGGGAAGAAACTCCGACCGAGCAGGTAAACACACTGGCTTGTGGAGCTGAAATCCGCTGGGCTCAACTTCATTCGCGATGCAGAGACAGTAAGGATGAGTTGGAAAGGCACAGATTTTTTTTTTTTTAAGGAAGTCCCAGCCCTGTCACTCCCTATCTGTGTGGCCTTGGGCTCATCATTTACCCTCTCTGAGCCTCTGTTTCCTCACCTGCCAAATGAAGGAAATGATCCCTACCTTGTCTCTCTCAGCCGGTTGGCCTGAGGCTCCGATGAGATGTTAAAAATGGAAAGTTGAAAGTGCAGTTGACTGTTGAACAGCACAGGTCTGACCTGCACGGGTCCACACAGGGTTGCTTTTGGTTTTGTTTCTGTGTTTTCCGAGAAGTACAGGCTAGCGCTGTAAACGTTAAGAGTTTCTTTCCTCTAGCTTACTTTATTGGAAGAAGACGGTATGTATAACACAGGTAACATACAAAATAGGTGTTAACGGACTACTGACGGTATCGGAAAGGCGTCTGGTCAACATGAGGCTCTTAGCACTAAAGGGTTTGAGGACAGTCAAAAGCCAGACATAGATTTTTGACTGCACGGGCCTGCCGCCCCTGAGCCCCACGTTGTACAACCGTACGGCGCAGGGGACCGTTTCTAGGATACAAGCCCCAAGGCCCTGCCGACCTGAGCAAGGGTTTACAGGATCTCATCATTTCGCTCAGTGACGTCAGAGAAGGAAAGCCGGGGGGCCTGCCCTGGGCGCCAGCCTGTGGGTGCCTCGTGCTCCCACGGCGTGTGCACAGAGAAATCGGGTTTAAAGGGAGCGTTTCCAGCGATTAAGGCTGAGCCCCCGTCACGCTTCATCAACGGCGGAATTGCATTTCTTAGCTTTTCGTCTTTGTGCCACACGCCGCCACCGCTTGTACCTCACAGCTTCCCCAGACTCCTTTCCCAGGGCCTTGCTCACCTCTTGCTCTACGAATGCAAGAGCCTTCTCCTCAGGAGGTTCAGCCTGGGATAAAATTCACACTTGCCACAGTCTCTGCATGGCCCAGAAAAAGAGCGGCCGCCGGTTTGGAACTCAGTTAACCCACAGGAGAAGGGCAAAATAGATGACTCTGTGGATGAAATAAGAGTCCCCCAGCGCCCAGGGTCTAGGTTGCTAAAGTCGATGGTCATGCCTTCTAAAGGCCCCTCTGGCTGAGAATTCTCTCCCCTCCTAGTTTACGTCTCTAATTCAGCTCAGTCAAGGTGAACCGGCCAGCCCTCCTTCCTGGAATTAGGAATAGCAGGTGTGGCGCCGTGAGCAACACCCACCTCCCTTCACCCCTCCTCAGTTCCCAGCCCCACCCCTGCCCATCCCTCAAACTCTCAGCTGGAACAAATGTGCCATTCAAGGAACATTCCGACATTCTGGAAGCTGTAGGCAAATGCTGGACGCTCGCTCCAAAGGGGGCACAGCTGTTTCTCCCTTGCCTAAAGAAGACTAGAGACACGGGCTGTGAAATGCAAGTGTGATTCTGGGAGAGAGAGCCATGCTTTAACCCCTAAACAGCCAGCCATTGGAACCTCACCAGAGAAGCTGATCCAAACTGCTCCTGTGGAGAATAACCCGTAGGCCAAGAAAGAGCGATGAGGGAGAAAGGTTCGAGTGCTCAGGGAAGATAATGGTGCCGGGGACTCTGCATGGCAGGCCATATCCAGGCCTCTGGACAGGAGGTCTGAGGAGAGCCCGGGAACTCAGGCTTCTGCTGTTGGGCTATGCCTGGGCCATGGGCAAATGGCGATGTTAATGCATAGACCACCAAGCGTATGCTTTGCTGTCCTCTTGCTTGAAAACTAGGTGTCCACTTGGGCATTTACTAACCCTATCCCAGCCTGGACATCAACATGACCAACATATTCACCCAGCCTATGATTACATTCTGGGTTTTTTCTTTGGTAGCTGGGTAGCCTCTATTTTTAGGAACTATATGTTATTTTATTGGATACTGACAAGAACCATATGAGGTAGTAATATTATTATCCCCATTTTACAGATGCAGAAACTGAGGCTTAGAGAGGGTAAGTAACTTATCTAAAGCCCCGCAGTCAATAAGTGGCAGCACTGGGATTCAAACCCAGGTCAGATGAACACGGGGGTGTAATTCTCTTGCCGGAACACCACACTGTCTTCGTGAACGGTCGTGATGAGCAAAGCCCTGATGGGTAGGGTCTCAGGACCTGATGGGATGTTTTGGTGGGGGGAGTAAAGAATCTGGATCACGGGTGCCTACTATATCCAAGATATCCAGGTCTATACAGGCTTGGGGAAAGCATTCAGGAGAGAACCCTGGATTACCTAGAGGAGTGGTCCAAGTAAGACTTGGATGTCCAGAGCAGAAAAAGTCGGAGCGACCAATAGGCTCTGATGGGTATGGTGCTTGGTTTTCCTTGGTGGGGACGGGGGTGGGTGGGAAGCTGTGTTAGCTTAACCTGTGGCAGGCTTCAGGGCACCATCCCGGGCGAGGCTCAGGGGACTCACTGCTAGTGCCGTTCTCCTACCTACAGCTTCCTAGCCACACATCCTGGACAAAACGGAAGCTGTACCTCCAAGGGAACGTACCTGTATTCTATTGCTTTCCTTTCGTTCATGAGACTGAGTCTTCTAGTCCCCCAGGATGGCTCCCGCCATCGGCCCATCCCCAGGATGGGGATGGGGGTTGAGGAACGGAGGCGAAGACACAGGGCACATCCCATTAGGGCAGCCAAGGGGCAGCAGCCCAGGATCACACAGGTGCTACCGTATCCTCTCCAGGGACTCCAGCTGAATCGATGTGCTCATGTTCCCGTTCTGCTTCAGTTCATCTTATAAAACATCAAGCTTCCATTTCCAGTTGGGTTACTAAGAATCTTTCTTCTCGTTTCCTCTCCACTCCCCCCCCCCTTT